TAATAGGGTCACCGCATGTCGTACGAGAAATTAGGAATTCCACCTGATATTAATTACACCGAGCTGTGTAATATGTACTCATTTATTATAAATGACATTACAACATGACTTTGACGTATCCAAAGACGGTTGATGTTTTTTAAAATTTACATAATTGAGACGAAGATTCATATTATACGTATAGTTGGGGGATGTTAATGAAATGTTTGGTATTTTTTTAATGTTCAGTTGTAGTTATAAATGTGTAGATATATTTAGTAGAGATAAATATTTTATAAAGATCAGTTTATATGTAGATCAGTTTTCTAAAGATTATTAAAACAGTTTTGCTATCAATTACCGATGCCACGAAAAGTAATGAATAAAATATTAGAATAAAAGAAATATTTATAACGAAATTATATAAACACATAAATTTTTATCTTTTTATTACGAAAAAATCGATGTTATCGCTCAAATAATATTAAGTTGATTTAAAAAAAAGACTTGAGGTGATGTTAATGATTTTAAAAGAAATATACAACTCAGATAATCACAAAATAAATAATACTTAAAAGTTAAAACGTCAGAATACACATAAGAAAAAAAAGCAACATTATTAAAAGTTTTCACAGTATATTGACTGTTGTTCTAAAATAATTATTTTTAACTACGATTACGAATATGTATCCCTACTAATATTATAAATGCGAAAGTAACTCTGTCTGTCTGTCTGTTACGCTTTCACGTCTAAACCAATGAACTGATTTTAATGAAATTTGGTACAGGGATGTAGTTGATCTTGAGAAAGAACATAGGATAGTTTTTATAGACGATTTTTGAAAAGTTCTCTTCAAAATGTTATATAACCGAACTCCTCACGGGCGAAGCTGCGGGCGAAAAGATAGTAACCTATGTGTTTTAAATTGTAATAAGAAATTCTAATTAATGCTAAATTTTGATTTTCTTTTAAAATTTTCAATGAATTTAATAAAGATAGTAGAGATTGATGCATTCGTGTTTCGGTTTGAAATGCACTTTACTTATTTGTATAATAGTTTGGTACTCTCATAAAATAAAAAAAAGAATATCAGTACCAAATAATAATAAATATATAAGCGTGTGATACCAATATAAATATAATAAGTGATAACAATCTCTTCACTAATACATGAAATATACAAACATTATGTTTGAAAACTCGAATGCGTTATACTAGAATTAGCATTTGGAAATAACACTGATTCAATTTAATATTTCTTTCAAGTTTTCGCCTTTCAATACCGCGCTTGAAATTTATGAATTTTTATTTATTAGTTTATTTAGGTTTTTCTTACTCTTGTTGTTATTTTTAATTATATCTAATAGTATTTCAGGTCATTATTATGAGACACTTAAATGATATTTAATTTGTCAAAATGGATCATCAAATTCATATATATATTTTTTATTTTTTTATATTGACTGGTGTTGTCTTTGTTCAAGTAAATCTACAAAGAAATTTGAATTTAAATTATAATTAATTTGAAAATCTCTGTATCTTTTCTAGATCGATAATTGTTTGAATCTAAATATTAAATCACAAATGGCCAGCATGATATAAAGTAATATTTGTAAGTAAAAATGAACAGCTTTTTTGTCAGTTCCATTACAGTAACGTTTAAAAGGCACTCGGGCCTATTCTAATAAATCATTCCGCGAGATCGTGTGAGGGAAGCCTTATTTCTAAGTTCCCGGAAAATCTTTTTACTTTACGCCAGAAGTTTGCGGAATAAATGTAACTGCTAGACGTCTGCTTTGAATTTTGATTATGTAAAAATGGTAATAGTTTTGTTCAAACAACTTATATTACTGTTATATAAGTTTTTTTATTTGATTTAATTCTTTAAGGTTGCTTATTTTTGAATTAGAGTTTCGTGACTATTGAAAAGATTTTTTTTTATTATCAGATTAAAGTTGGAATTTATAAAATATCGCTTTGTAAATAAATGTTAAATTAATTTATAATTTCAAAACATATAAAATGTATGGTTTATGAATTGTAGCGTTAATTTTAACAAACAATTAGACAGACGTTTATGAGCATCTCTGTTCCATATATGATGAAAGTAAATCTGGAACTAGTAAAATTCAACCCATAAACAAGATTATCACATTTTCAACTTCCCCTCAATAATTTTAAAATAATTTTAAATTGATTACGTAAATAAAATATATATATATATATATATATATATATATATATATATATATATAACTTTTGGTTAACTTTACTTAGAAGTTTATTAATATTTAAGTTATATTAATTTTTATTTTGTCATATATGATCGTCAACTACCACGTCCTCAAATATCGATAGTAATTCACCAGTCACCCTGTATATATATATATATATATATATAAAGTTATGTAATTAATTACGCATCGTGTGAACACCCTACAGATTAGGTATACACACACACACACAGACGCGGCGGCGGCGTAGTGTTGTATCAGCACGCCGCCGCACGCGTCAACACTTGGAACACTTGGAACGTGTCAACACTTTATTTATTTATACGGAAATTTTGTCAAAAATTAAGTACCTATTTTTTTTACATAATTCGAATGAGAATCATGTACCGAGTATTCTCTTTAAATATTGATAGTAATTCACCAGTCACCCTGTATATAAGTAATAATATCATTACTTACCTCGTATAACTTTAGACATAACGTCTAAAGGATCTCTTAATATTCATGTATTCAGTCAAAGGGTTCGCAAAAACTTATAAATCGTTTCCCCACTTTAGCGTTTACCCTTAGGTGATGTCACTTGTTTTTGTAACTCTGCTTTCATACGAACAAAACAATATTAATATTATATATATTATGTTTGTATGAAAATTATACTTATATAAATTAATAGGGTATCATTTTAACGTTATTAAATTGATTTGTTATTATACATTAAATACTCGATCACAGAAGTGTTAAAAGAAAAAATTCTGTTGTAATCTATAATTTAAATGTAATTATATCTATTAGCCAGATAAATAAGTTTATAGATTAAAGTATCCTACATATATTTGTTGTTAATAAAATAAAGAAGTAATAATAATTGTAATTATAATTAATTAATTATATAATAAAATAATCTTACTTCATGTTAGAATACGAAGAATTTTTCGTTTCTCAATCAATTACGTACGTTAGTGTTAGTTATATGTTAATGAAAATATTATTAATTTAGTTTAAAGATGGAAGGATGTAAAGAAGTTTAACAAAGATCTACCTAGTTCTAATTTAAAATAGTCTTTTTGTAAGTATTTATAGGTAAAAGTCATAAAAAAAATTATTGTATCGTTTACAAACAGTTATAAAATGATAAAATTCCGAGTCGTTTAAGTGTTAAAATTCCGAGCTATATTGAAAACAGAGTGAAAATTATAAATGAAAGATATACATATATATATTTACTACGCAATACGAATATACAAGAAATATATATATAAATTATACCATACATTTTTTATCATTTAATATAATTTCTATGAATATGCACATTTCTTAAACGAACAAAGCAAATATTGGAGTGGATTATGAATATTTTGTCGATGGAATTTTAAATTTATATAGTTATCAAGGGTATTAGGGCAGCAGACTTTAGACTTTGCGTTTGTTTTACGGACGCTTAACACGAGTTTTCATTCACATACAATGATGCTGACGTTTTATGAATGAAATACGTGATTCTGATCGTATTTTGTTTGATGAAAACCCGTTGTAGGCGCATTGAGCGTGAGTAAATAAGAATTCTGTGATGAAATTTTGAAAGTAATGTTAGTTTAGTTAGTTAAAAGTAACTGATGGTATAAACATTAAGAAATAACTAGAAAAATACATATATATAAAAAATAATTTAAAACGAATGTCTGCTGTGTACTTGCATTTAACTTTGAATATATTTTTTAATTCATGTTGGTCACGTATCCGAAAATGGGATCACGTGCTTCGTATAATTATGATGGCCGCGTTACATGAGAAAATAAAAAAAAAGATAATCTATGATATCACAGATCTAATACAATTTCAAAATTAAATATGGACGTGACACTCTCAGCTTTGAAATGCAGATAAGGTTTTAGAAATTGCTTAAGTTTTTATAATAATATTATTCCATAGATATTGGTGATGTTTGAGCAATTTATCGAATAATGTGACATTATGTTTTATTGATTTCATAACCATAAAGATTATTAATTCTTCCAACAAATAAAAACGTTGACATTAGCAGAAAAATCCATGATGTCAGTGTGAATGAAGCCATAGCTTAAAAAAAAGTAGAAAAAAAAGTAATAATGACAATTAATCGAACATTGAAATTTTAAATAAAACTCTTTAAAATATTCCTTTTATCACATAACAAATTTTATTTACAATATCACAAATTTATTCAAATGTTACTTTAGTAACGCTTACTATAGGACTTAGCTTGACGCATAGAAAAAAGACTTAAAGTAATTTGTCGTATAAATTTCTGATGGAGAAGATATTTTTACATGTTAATAAAGACAAGTACATCATAATAATCATCATCAGCCTATTGGAGCCCATTGCTCAGCAAAGGCATTTTCTCACATGGAGAAGGTTTGAGCATTAATCACCACGCTTGCTCAAGACGGGTTGGCGATTTCAAACTTGTAAGTCGAGGTTTCCTCACGATGTTTTCCTTCACCACCTGTCAGTGGTGTCTAAATGCTCTTGGACATAATTCATAATAATATATATAATTATTTGTATATTTAATACATTTATACATTCAATTATTCTTACACGCTAAGGAATGGATCACGATGTATTAAAATTTTACATAATACTTCTAAGTTTTGTATAAAAATTTTAAGACTTATAAATTAATTTATAACACACACGTCACACGTGTATATAAATATAAGATACAACTAACAAACTGTACTCTTATATTAAGCTACTTAATTGTTATTCACAATTTTATACAACACTATTCAGTCTTACACACGTTAAAGCCTGGTTTTATTTTCAACTGTTTCGTCTTGTGAATCTATTTTTCTATCTTGGTCTTGTGCTTCTTTGAGTGAATCAGGTAATTTCTGTTTGTTCGTCTCTGGTAATGTGAGCACAAGTAAACCTGACATCGCTGACATTATACCGAAGACGAGAGTTGGCAGGAATTGGTATACGTGTGCCTGAAAAAATAAGCATAGTATAAGGTACTCGTGGTATTTTTTGCTGCTTCTGTAAACAATGATTTGTCAAAGCAAGGTCAGAGGAAATGTTGGAGCGTTTTTCGTGGAATGATTTGTTGAATTTACACTTGTCATTGCATTCAAATTACCGAACAGGAAACTTTTAATGTATAAGCTTAAAAATAAACTAAGATTTATGCTTTTATAAATAAATACACGATGTATATACAAGGAAAAACGTATTCAGTTTCGTTATTTTGTAATTTAAATTCAAAGTGTCGTTGAACTTACTAATAATGGAGTTTGGGGAGCAACCGCAGAACCGATTCTGCCAAGAGTGGAGCAAATCGCTAACAATGTTGTTCTATAATTGGTTGGGAAAATCTCAGCAGCAAAAATATAAAGCGAATTGTATGCGAGCGTTATAAAGAATTTACCGCCTAAATAAAAAGCGGTAGACCAATTGCCACCTGGAAATAAAAAGAAAACATATAATACATACGTATTTTGATAATAAAAAATTAAATAAAACTGCAATTGTTTTTATAATGAGATCTAAAATTTTCGAGAGTACTCATTTAAATGTAACTAATATTTTCGGACTTACTACATGATTTTTATTTTATTTTTATTTTACTATATTCGTTTTATTTGAATTTCTTTTTCCTCTAATTGCTATTGAAACATTGTATCCAAGTCATTTAAATGTATTACCTGGTATGAATCCACAACAGATGAGAATAATGCCGGCCATCATATATGCTATAGCTATAACCCGTTTCCTTCCAAAGCGATCTAGACAGATGAGCTTGCAAATGTTCGCAGGGGCTTCTATTGCAATTACAACTATGTAATTAAGATAACTGTTGCCTGATAATTCGATGGCGTTAATCGATAGACCGTAATAAACCAATGTGGATGAACACCAGAGGAACGATGACGTGAACAGTCTTTTCCATATCATAGGTGACATTAGAAGCTGTTTGAAGGTAGACTGATTTGTGAGCTGTTCCTCGAATTTCCTCTGATCTCTCTGTTTCATGGCTGCTTTTTCTACCAGATCGTAATGCTCTTTGGGCACAGTCACGTTGTTGACCTTCTCAAACTTAGCGAGGACATTCAAGCCTTCCTCATAACGACCTTTGCTGAACAGCCAACGGAAGCTTTCAGAAAGTGACCATAAATAAAAGAAGACTAGGATTGCTGGTATATAGATTACTAAGAGAAGGTATCGCCAGCTTTGAAGCCACCAGGATAGTATAGTCACGGACACTCCTCCCAGAATGAACATCATGTTGAACAGAAGACTTACGAGCACTCTACCACGTGGACCAACCAGTTCCAGGGCTGCAAAAAATTAAAACAACTTAGAAAATGTTTTAATGGCATTAAAATAGCGTAAAAATAAGACCTGCAAAAGAAGTTTAGAATGAATCACCTGCATGCATAAGAGTTTTAATTGATTCTTTATGTTAGATTTTGAAAATAATTAATTAATTAAACTGAAAATTCTCCAGTGACGATAATTTTGTTAATGTATAGTAAAATTAAAAGCTATTTACGTCTGATATAAACGGGTAAAGTAAACTCATATATAATTGTACATATATATATATATATGGATTAAAAAACTCCAATTAAAAATGGAAATAGAAATGTAAAAGTATTAGTATATATATTTCACTTTCATTTAACGTGATAATTGTTTAAATTATCAAGCCAGTAAACTCCCTGAGTAATAATTAAAATTAGCCGATATTAACAGGTCTATTTTCGTATTATTTTCATAGACAATGAGATAAAGACGTTGAATTATCTATAGTGAAATTTGAAAAGGTTAAAACAGAAAATTATAATAAATTAAGTAATCGAAGTAAATGTTTTTATTTTACTTTAAACGGTATTAAGAGATAATAATTTCGGAATACATAAATAAGTGAACGTTTTTACTTTTTGCATTGCTTACTCGAGCGTGAATATTTTAACTTCTGTTGTATTTTTTTTTAACTTTTATTACTTTACTCTTTAAATAGAATGTCATTGGTGATATTTCCTTTAAAAAAAATATAATTATACTGTTAAATTTAGTCGTTTTATAACTATTATATAATTGCTAATTCAGTTATTGTTTTGATCGAAATTATTTTCGTCGGTAAGTAAGTATGTAATATTTTTTTTTGTCAATGAAAACTAGACCTGTGATAAATGTTGGATTTTATTTATTTATAATACAAATATATTAATTACTGGACAAAAATATGGTGTTATTAAGAAATATATTAAAATATATGTAGATTTTGGAGATCAATTTCAAATAGTTTAAGGATATTTTTTCGTTTGTTTTGATTTCTTGAGGGATTTAAAAATATACATAAGTTTGTCATTATGTAGTCTGCTTGACTTGCTTGATGAAAAAAAAAATAACGAAAGGATTCTATGTATTAAAAACACAAAGATTGCTGTCTAATATAAACAGATCATGAAAATCAATCTGTTTTAAAGGTAAATGAAAAAAATAAGTACTTCTTTGTGACTATTATCCATATTTAATATTTATATTACTTTTTTATCAGTATTTTTTAAATAATTGTGTGTTAAAATATTGACTTATTTAGTTATGCTCTGGAACACGTAATTTACTGAAATTTCTTTATTTTAAAATAAAACTTTTGCTTAGTAAAATTTCATATCAAATATTGTATAAAAGTATATGCTTTTTGTTACTTTAATTCTTTTTGATTCTGAGGCTATATAATAATTTTCATTAAGAGAAAATAACATTATTTTCTTTATCAAAGGTACTAATAACTAACGCTAACACCTACATATTTTATTTCGCTTTCAATACTTACATTTATGGATAAGATGTCCTATACCAATGTATATATATACATATATATACATATATATATATATATATATATATATATATATATATATATATATATATATATATGTCTCTGTGTTGTCTATTTCTATAATACATAAAGTGATTGTTGTATGGCCTTTCATACTGTATTGACCTTTATAACTTCCTCTGATCATAATTTTATCGAGTACACATTCACAAACGTACATAGATTAAAAACAAACAAGGAAAATTCTTGACGTAGTTTCTAAACTTCATATATTTTTGTATGGATCTATTTAATCTGGATCCAAAATTCAAAATGTATAAAAAATTATGGCGTATGAAGAAGTATTAATATTATTCAATAGAATCGTTGCGATTTAGTTCCTGTATTGCATGTAGGGATTTTAATTATAAATGCAAGATTTATTTATATGTTTAAATTATCGTATGTATTATGTTTCCGTATTTAACCTGTTTGTTAAGATTAATCGAGGATTGTTAGTTTATTATGAACTATTAAACATATATGTATATATAAATCATTTAAACTGTTATAAAAATATTACTATTAATTTTGTAAAACTTAGTAAACGTTACTTTGGGAATATTTGTATGATAGTAATAGAGATTTAAAGGACTTGGAGAAGTATTTCATTTACTAAAAAACCTTTAAATGGCTGGAACTATAATATTTTCATGTACTTAATCGTTGAACCTTTCAATTTAATTATATAAAAAATAAGATAAGTGTGTTTAGTTCTTTATAAATTACGTCAAAATAACAAGCTTATACAGGGTGACTGGTGAATTACTATCAATATTTAAGGAGCATACTCGGTACATGATTCTCATTCGAATTATGTAAAAAAAATAGGTACTTAATTTTTGACCAAATTTCCGTATAAATAAATAAAGTGTGTACACGTTCCAAGTGTTCCGAGTGTGGGCGCGTGCGGCGGCGTGCTGATACAACACCACGCCGCCGCCGCGTCTGTGTGAGTGTGTGTGTATACCTAATCTGTAGGGTGTTCATACGATGCGTAATTAATTACATAACTTTTGGTTAACTTTACTTAGAAGTTTATTAATATTTATGTTATATTAATTTTTATTTTGTCATATATGATCGTCAAATATCACGTCCTCAAATATCGATAGTAATTCACCAGTCACCCTGTATAAGTACTATGACAAGTAGGAACTGTTGAATAACTTACCAAGTACAAAACACGCTGTATAAACTCCACCACCGAGCGCCGGTTCAAGAAATTCGAGAATTATGAACATGTTGTAATTAACAGAAAATGCTCGAATAACACCGAATACACCGTTTGATACACTCGCGAACACAAGTGCCCAACGTCTCCCGAATTTGTCTGATATAAGGCCAGTTAAAGGTATGGAGACAAAGAATCCTGCGTTGTGGATTGTACCCACTAGAGAACGTTTCCATTGCTGACATCCCAAATTGAACTGTAAAAGAAATATTAATATATATTAATATTATAAACTTAAAGGATATTTTTACGTAAAATACTTTAATTAGGTAGTGTCAATAAAAAAATATTATTTCTTCTACTTGTTATTTATTTTACAATGATTTATATCGACCTATTTTTTAAAATCTTGATAATATTTTGTGGTTACTTTTTGTTTTTACATATATTGTTTTGCTCAGAAGCTATTAGAAATGTGTGTCAAAGAAAATAATCCAGATTTTTCATAAAATTCATCAATCTATGGATTGTTTGCATTTTAAACGAGACTACCAATTAATGATACTAAAAAGATATTATTCATTTAATATATATGAACGATCCTAATATAATGACCAATAAACTAAAGTAGATTTTACTTTTAGAACCAAATGCTTTGATAACCATAAAGGGTAATTAAATTTATAATAAGTATATATTTATATATATATGTATGTCTACAGTAGGTCAAACCTCTAAAGTCGTTAAAATATTTCAAGAGTTTTTACAAAAATACCTGACTTATCAAATTAATATGACAAAACAATGATTTTCGCAAACTAATGATTACTGTTATTAACTTCAAAGTAATTTAAGTAGCAATAGGACATATTAATGAATGTGATGTAAAATTATTGTGATTACATTTCGATTGTATGACATTTGTTTATTATGTTTTTGTATATAATATTAAGTATAATTGTATATTTGAAGAGTAATATTAATGTGATATATTAATCGAAAGTTACTTTACATATATGTATATATATTAAAATAAGTAATTAAGTGATATTAAATCGTATACAAATAGAAAATGGATTTAATAAAGAATAATAATATATATTTAAATATAACAAGTAAACTAGAAGTACAGTTTTTAAATAAGGTAATATGAAAGTATATAAGTCTCATCAGAATTATAACAGATTTATAATGTTTGTATTCTTCTTCTTCTACATGGCAATTTTCCAGTTTTAGTCAGTGTCTGCCTCACTTAATAAGTGTTTATTTTTATAATGTATACTAGTACCTTGATTGTAATTAAAATCTATTTCACTGAAAATCAGGTTATGATTCTCATACGAAGAGTCTGTCAAAATGTTGCTCAAAAAAAGTAATTTGCAACAAATCAAATATATAAATGTTAAAAATCCATATAATATAAAAATTGACGTCAAAATAATGACATAATTTTATGTATATAAAAACACGTAACACTAATTCTTTGATCACGTCGATATGTTTTCACGATAGCCACACACACAATACATTACACATGTAAACATTATGTAAACAAAATAACATATAATAAATTGTCATAATCACTGTCAAGTTTACAAGTTTACACATAATAAAGTCAGATTATTACAGAATTAAAACCATAATCGTACCGGAACCGGCCAAGGTTCATGAAGACCATTGAAAATTCTGTAAACGTTTGAATACATGCACGGTAAATTTGTGTTTACCTACGCTTTGATTACAATCATCGTAAAAATGAATGCTTTATTAATATATGCATATTTTTATGTACTGATATATATATAAGAGTTTTATTTTGTAGTAATATTACGTAAGTCTTCTTCTACCCGGCAATTTCCTAGCTATAGCCAGGGTCTGCCTTACAAGTTGTGAATAGTTTTGGCTAATTGTTTTTACGACCGGCCACATGCCTGACATCAACCCTCTTTGGGAATGCATTAATCAGTGATGTCTAAATACTCTTAGAAAGTACATATGACTCGGAAAAATCACATTGATACTTGCCATGCATGAGAGGTGGGCCTTTTAACCACCAGGCCATCACTGACTCTGAAGAAAACTAACATTACGTACGTAGTACAAAATAACTAATGAGTAGTGTTAAACGAGAGCTTAGTTAAATATTAAAATATTATTACCTCATTTGCAAATAAGTTTTTCTACTTTAAAACTACCAAGTAAAGCCTTAGAATTATTGAAATACTGGTGTTTCTTTCATAAACAACTTGTAAAAATGGTGATGCACGAATAATAATTGATGTTTCACAGCGAAATGTTCGGTTGAAATGCGTGACGGAATATTAGCTGTTAATGAATATACGTTCTTGGAAACAAATAGTGAGAAATTTTTCATATTTTTTTATGACCTTGTTATAATTCTGGGAAATATGACAGAGATAATTATGATGGAAGACTTTCAATCTCATACTCCAGTCTACTCAGAGGTTCTCTCAATATCCAAGACAAGTCTCTTTCAAGACAACACAGTTTTTAAGTTTAAACAACAATGAGACTACAACATTTATTGTTAGAGCACAAACCTAATTTATAACAAGAATTGTTTTAATCCTAACATAAAAATAAAGACGCCGTTTCAAAAAATAACATATATGTACATAACTTATATTAATACATTAAGTCGTAAAGACATTTGAAAGTCTGAAATATATTTAAATTTAATTATTCACATACTTTAGCAATTAACAATGACATATCTTTACACACACAAACACACAAGTAAAAAAATACAAACTGAGATTTAATAAAATCTATGAAAATATAAAATAAACTTAACATGATTTGTAATTTTAATAAAAAGTTATTTATATTCCATATTAGAACCTCTCTTTAAATAAAAGACGATAAGAATCTTATTAAAAATTCCACACAAATCGATTATTATTGAATGCTTGAATCACGTGTGATGTAATGTCAAGGTGAATATTGAATTTTCATCGGTGTACTATATAAAATAATTACTAATACTAAGAAAATGGCAGACCCTGGCTTAAGCTGGAAAAATTGCCAGGAAGAAGAAGAAGACTAAGAAAATGGTGATAATATACAATTATAATTTATTTTAGATGAAGTATCAAGATTTATTTGATCACAAATATTTGTCATAGAAATTAAAGAATAGTAAGTTAAATTTATGTTCTTTAAAAAGGGAAAATGTCTTCAACTGAAAAGACGTTTCATATGAAGAAAACTTAACAAAAATACTCAATATTACAGGATAAATATCATGTAACTTTGTTATGTACAATATTTTATCGTTAAAGTAGTTCGAGAAATCATTCGAGTTCTCTGAAAAAAAATATTTTTGGACCAATTTGAGAACATGTTCGCTCGAGTGGAAAGTTAAACATCGTTAAAAACAACCTCGTTTTATACATGATGAAGTAAAGAGCTGACATAAATATAGTATATAAAATTATCTTCGTCCTAGAAAATCAAGATCACTAAAATATATTTTATAATAAAAAAATATACTATCTTTTTCAGATAAATTTTTAGTTGTTTCAGAACCAGAACAGTAATATCGGACATTATGGTAACCTTTTGTTGATGAAAAATAAAGAGACGAAACTTTTAAGCATTCAATGGATTCACCGTATGGGTGCCGAGTATACCGTTGCAGAGAGAAGAGCTTCAAAAGTGACTGGGACTTACGACCCAGGTGCAGGTTTAAGGGGCCCCTATCTAACGCGCGTTATACGCTCACCTCCACCGTCCAAGCTCCTCTCTACCTAACCAAATTTAAAAAGTACTTCGAAATACGGTTTAAGAATGAATTGATATTACTTCTGGACAGGCCCAAGTCTTTTAGTATGTTGTAGAGAAATTTAGCTGTTATACCTCTCACTCCCACTTCTACCGCGTACAAATCGAACTTACTTTTACATTAATCGTGTGCATTTTATTATTTCAAAGTATTCTTAGATGAAATCACTAACTAAAGCCGGTGACATGGGAAATATTTGAGATGTTATCTATTAAAAAATATCTACGTTAGTTTAATTGCTTTTATAAAAGCTGTTTAGAAGCAATCATGAATAATTTTCAACACGTTTATTATAACAATTGTCGCTATTTATTTTAACATGTGTAGTTCTCGTCATTATAAAGATAATTTTTTATGAACAACTCATAGAACAAATAGCGAACATGTTCGTGTAATTGTTTTTAAGTCACACAATGCTGTTATTCTAAGTTGTGTCAAATTAGTTGGAAAAGTGACTGGGAAGTGATTTTCTGCAGTCAGTTTGAATTTGCTTGTGTTTTAATTTATTTTATTATATAGCATTTTATTTAAATATTATTAATATTCAATTGAAGGAAATATAGATTTTACGTAAATTTGACAAATATAAAAAATATTAGGAATAATTTGTACGAATCTATACTAATATTATGTATAAAGCTGAAGAGTTTGTTTGTTTGTTTGTTTGTTTGTTTGAAAGCGCTAATCTCCGAAACTACTGGTTCGAATTGAATAATTCTTTTTGTATTGGATAGTCCAGTTATCGAGGAAGGCTGTGGGCTATATAACATCACGCTACGACCAATAGGAGCAAAGATATAGTGGTAAATGTGTAAAAAACGGGAGAAATTATTTCATCTTTGAAGCCTTCCGTTGCGTGCGCCGTGAAAACGGTTCAAGATACACAAAAAATATGTACTAAAGAATAATAGCTCTTTTAATGATCTAAAAAACAGTCCGCAACAGTATATGTCTATCTTTTAAGATTAACTCACAAAAACCGTTTTTATGGTACCTAATTTGGTCGAAATAATTTGTTTAAGTTGTATCAACATAATAATATTAATCTTTATTCAAATAAACAAATAAATATGTTGTTGGTTAAGAGTACTTCATTGTGAGTAAAATAAAAATATAGGTTTTATCCTGAAAATTCTACGGGAACTCGACCATTCCGAAAACCCTGCAAGAACGGGAACTATGTGGGAAGAACCAAAAATCTGCCGGAAGCCACTATTTCACGCGGACGTAGTCGCGGCAAAAGCTAGTGATATTATAAATATTTAACTGAATGAAACCTAAAATTATTTCATGAAGTAGTAGTTTATTATTTAGAATCGTCATTTGGGGAAAACATTATACTATACCACGTTTTTGCTTGCATATTGAAGTGATTTATGGCGATACTCTTATAAACAAATCAAAAGGATTGTATTTATTTATATATTTCAGACAGTTTACTTTTGAAGACGCACAGACATTTTTGAGTCATTGTTACAAAACGCAGATGCATATATTATATTAACGCTATGAATTTAAATAGTATTTTCAAACCAGCTGTTTACATACGACGTAAAATTTAATTCATAGTAATATAGCAGTCAATAAAGCTTAAAATTTAAACAATATTTGAAGAAGTTTTTGACTGATAAGAATAAAAAAACAACTATTAAAAGAATCCTAACTTCACTTATAAAGTCTGAAAATATGAGAAAAAATTACAGATAATTTTTTTCACTCAAGCACGATAATAACTTAATATTGTTTTTTATAGTTATGGAAATAGTATATTTATCAAAATATATAAAAATATACTTATTTATTTTAATTATATTAATACGAAGTCATGAATTAAATAGTTTGTTTCATTTATAATCATTTTATTTTGTATCATTTTGAGTTTCCTACGTTACTTGAATAATATTAAACACACATACATACATACACACACAAACTCGCACACACACATATGTAATAACCAGACGATATTTCGTCTGGTTATTACATAATAATGTAATTTGAATTTCAATTATCATGACAAAAATTAAAAATATTACTGTGTGTAATAATGTATAACTCATGTCTTTCTGAAGATTAGTCACGTTATATTAGTATTAAAATTTTTATTTCTTTAAAAAATTACTTAATTTGAACAAATGGCTTTCGATGTTATGTACCATATTTACATATTTTTTTACTTAAAATACAATACAATAGAGAATCACAAAGCTATTATTGACAAGACAAGACAATTCTTAAAACATTTGTACCTGTAGATATGTTCTAGCTTTAAAACTATTGTTATTAATTGATTAAAATATAATACATATTTAGGGAACACACATTTAATTTGAACCAAACCTTTAAATTCCCGAATTCACCCAAAGTGATGTTAAAGCGATGACTTTAACGCGGGAAAGTATTTTGTCGACACGACTTGTGTTTTTGTAAATTGAATTTAACTTATAGAAGGTGTTTTGGTTTAAGATAATAATTAGCTTTTTCTAGTTAAGGTTTGACATGTTTTTTAAAAGTACTGGCTTTATAAGAAAACTATATTTTTTAACACTAAATTCTTATGTTTTTAATTATTATTTAACTTACCTCCTTAACAATGGAGTGTTCCTCAAAATACATGAAAGAATCGCATTCAATCTCCGTTGTTGGGTCGAAGTAATGTGGCGAGCAAGTGTCGTTGGAACCAGTCAGGTTGGAAAACGTTGCGTATTTCAGACATTTATTTGGTGTACCGTCTTCAAGATGTGGAACTGTGAAGTTAACGTTGGGATCCTCGCATTCTGGGGTCGAGCATCTGCAAAGATAATTACTTATTAATAATTTCAACATAAAATAAAACAATTCATTAACTTTGATAGAAAACCGTACTGTCTTTTTAACTATAAGATTAATTTTGTTTAACCATTGCTATAGAGTAATTTACAAAATTGATCGTCTTAAATGTCATGTATATATGTATGTATGTTTTATGATGTCAATCGCAATAATTAAAAGTTGTGGTGAATTTTAAAAATTGCTAGGTTTTAGTCTATTTTAGTGTCAATAAAAATCACTATTTATAAATATATTTAAACAAAAAGTTTCCCGACATGTTACCGACATTGAAACAAAGTAATAAGAATATTTTATTACAAAAAAAAGTAACATCTTATTTGAACTTAATATCTCGAATTAAATAAATTATCGGTAGGAAAAATAATTTTTATCAAAGTCAAGTTTACTTAGAAAAGAAAATACAAAGAATTTATTGGAGCGAGTTAAAGCTAACTTTGATGAAACATAATTGAGCGAGAAATAGGGAACAAAGTTTGAACGACGAAAGTTGCGACATTTTTGGACTTTTATATTAAAACGATTTAATAATTCCGTCTTATAAGATATTATGTTTTATCTGTGAACAAAAATATCCTTTACTTCATTATAATACTTCTTCTTCTTACTGGCAATTTTCCAGCTTTAGCCAGGGTCTGCCTTACATGTTTTGAATAGTTTTGGCTAATTGTTTTTACGAAATTAAAATCAATGTAACTGAAAATCAGTTTATGCCTTAATTAATGCTTAGAAAGTAGGTACGAGTACATATGATTCGGAAAAATAACATTGGTACTTGCGAGGATCGAACCCGCGCCCTCATGCATGAGTCTAGGCCACCACTGACTATTTCTTTGTAATACTTATTCTTCTTTAAACTTTTTATAATTGTTTTGATGACCACAGTATAGTATAGTTTTCTAAATGAATTATCCAAATGTTTTAAGTTAATTACGTCAGTCGTATGTTATAATTTCATTGACTCAATCACACGTATTATTAAATATTATTCTAGAAATCCACGTTCTAATATTTCAAACGTAAAAAAAATTACGACATAATACGTAATGTAAGATAGTTCTGATAAAATATATATAGTTGGTTTTAGAGTTCCGTTCAGAACACGTAAAACGGGAACTCATTTATAAGTCTCTGTCACTCTGTCATGAAAGACAGTTGATATTTTTCATAGATTATGTATATCTAATAATATTATAATAACAAATATAAAGAACGAAATAAATTACAAATTTAGTTTCAAATTAAAGAGGAAATATATTAATTTTTCATCCAAATACCTTCTAGTTTTTAATGTTGTAATTCAAGCTACAGGTCTCCAGAATAAATGAAAAAAAATAATATCAAAAAATTTAAACGTCACTTTCTTAGAATATAAGTTGTAATTTTTATAAAATAACTAGAACGTATTTTATTTCAATTAATAACATTATTAAGTTGTAATATTTTCATTTGTCATTACGTGAGGTACTTTTGAAATTCTTCACACTTCGAAGGGGTTACCAGTGTGTAAGAAATGTTAATAAAGTCTCTAAGTGGATTTACTAACTTAGCGGGTTCATTACAACTGCTTCTTCATTTAAGTCGTTCTGTATGATTATATTTATTAGTAAATTCTTTGAAGGCAGGACTAAATGAATATAACAAACTGCTAAGTGACCGAAAGCTTGCTAATATAAAGTGTTTAAAAATAATAAAATATTAGTTTAATTTAAATGGATACTCGCGCAAGTCTTGGACCTCATTAATATTATATTCTGTGAAAAAAATTTTCTTTGTAAATGACAAAATAATTTGAATACTTATTTTTTGTTATTTTCCTGTGTATGTACTTTTCTATTTTAATATAAATTATAAATGTTTTATAGATCGACATCAGGATAAATATTTTGTTGGTATTGAATAATCATTGCATTAATTGAACACCCGTGGACAATTTTTAATATTTTTTTTTGTTAATTTAAGTTTAAATTTAATTTTTATACTTTTTCAGGACATTTTGTGTGGCTTTTTGTATATTCTCATTTTTATTTTTATGTGTTTTTTTTTAAATATTGAACTGAATTTTACTTGATCTAATAACTCTCACAAATCCATTTATAATAAGCCAACAGCAATTAAAATAATAATATTTTCTTTTGATTTGCATAATGAAGAAGAATTTCAATTTTTTTAGTTTAAATTTTAAGATTTTCCTCAAAAATGGTTACGAATCGTGTCAATTAGTCGAAAGTAAATATCGAAAAAGGATGCGAATTATGCCAACTTTAATTTATTTCATTGAGTGGACACAAAAATATAAAGCCATCGATAATAAATGCAATATACTTTTTTGATGTCATATTTTTATACATTTAAAAAGTGAAACTTACATTTTTCGGATATATTACGCGACTTTATTTTTATAAAAAACTACATACTCCCGGCGTCTTTTACAAAAATAAAATCGCGTAGTATATCTGAAAATATAAGTTTTATTTAAATGAATGTAACTGGCGAAAATCTTAGATGTCAAAATATTTTTATTTTATTTTTATTATTTATTATATGTTTAAGATTACCTGTATCTTATATCCATGGCCTCGAAGTTGTACACAGAAGAGTACATCCCAGACAACAAAACGGGGAAGAGTATGAGTATGTAGTTGTAAATATTGTATTTACCATACGGACCCAAGATTTCTAGAATATCGTCAACTGTCACATCGTTTTTATTTTTTTCTGGATCCATTTTTATTTATTTATGTTTTATTTTCTAACACATCACATCGAAGATTTATTCTAACGCGTCTCGATCAGAACGCCGTTCGTGTTTGACTGCGCAGGAGTCGTTTAATTAAACACTTTTATTGTATTTGACATTTTTTCATTGCACCGGCTTATCGCAAACTATTTCTTTGCTGTACTATCGGGTTGTAGGTCAAATTAATGCATCAGGATTATTACGTTATTAATATATATTTCTATAAATATATTGAAATATAAGTTTATATCATAAGTTTATTAGCGCTATGGATTCGGAAAATGGATTTTTTTTATTGAACATAAACAAAATTAGACAATATTTGTATAGGAATGAACATAAGAATTCATAATATTTGTTAATAATTCTATTATACGAGAGTTACGTAGAAGATTTACTCAGTTGTGATGTCTTGTAAAAACTTATGTTCTCATGACACTGTAATAGTCAGGATAGATTGTGGAAAATTTATATAGATTTTTATTATGTAAGAACAAAAGATGATTATATAATGACCGAGATAGACATAGAAAAAAATAATAATTTTATGTAAAATTTTATAATTCGATAGATAAGATAAAAATTGCATGTTTTGAAAAGGATAATAATTTAAACTTTTTTGACAATTAATATTGTTTTTTTAGGTCAAATATTATTAAATTAGGATTTATAATATAATAGTAAAGATATTATCTTATAAATTAATGACAATAAAACTGAGTCTGCAGTTTAACGTCTTCTTATTAAGGGTATTGAAGTTATATCCAATTAAACTCAAATAAAACAGTGAATAGTTTTACAAATCTATGAATAAAACTGAGGTTTTTTTTATTGTAAAGATTATTTTAATAATAATTTTGTACAATTTGCAAGACAACGTGTGTCAGGGAAAAAAGGAGATTCCATCGAGCGACAAAGACCGTGCGAAATTAAGTCAGGGTTAAATTTAGCCTATCACTAACTAACTGATACGTTTCAGTAGTTATGGTCAGATTCACCTTGTTTTTTAAATCAATATTAAGGTTATATGTTACGTAGAACGTCGGTTATGACGTACTTCCGCGAATATATCACAAGGGCATGTCACATTCTGTGCATGACACATGTCAATAAGATTTAGAAGTGTACTTTTTATCTTTTTATATATAAAATTTACTGAAAAGTCAATGGTGGTCTAGTGGTTAAAAGGCCCGCCTCTCGTGCAAGAGGGCGCGGGTTCGATCCTGGCAAGTACCAATGTGATTTTTCCAAGTCATATGTACTTTCTGAGAGTATTTAGACACCACTGACAGACGGTGAAGTAAATAAAACATCGTGAGGAAACCTGGACTTATAATTTCACAATTATAAGTTTGAAATCACCAACCCATCTTGAGCAAGCGTGGTGATTAATGCTCAAACCTTCTCCAATTGAGAAATAGGTCGTTGCTCAGTAGTAGGCTCTGATAGGCTGATGATATGATGATATATAAAACTCTCGTGTCGCGGTATTAGACAGAGATCTCCTCCGAAACGGCTGGACCGATTCTCATGAAATTTTATGAGCATATTGTGTAGGCCTGAGAATCGGCCAAAATCTAGTTTTCATACCTCTAAGTCCTAAGGGTTGTTCACCCTTATTTTTTTTTTTAATTTTCGTACGAATTCTTTTTTATAATGTAACATTAAAAATACATACAATCCAAAAATTTTACTTTTTGTCACCAACCCCTATTTTTTTATGGCAAAAAAACGTTTGCCGGGTCATCTAGTTTTTTTATAAGTCTCAGTAGTTATGAAGTTCTTACTTTTCAGTTTACGACCTTCTTCATTCCCGAATCCCCTTATTAAATAGATCAGTTTAATTCATACTCGATAATGACGGCATCTATAAAAAGCAATCACTATAGGAGTAGAATCTTTTTATAATGAATTGAAATGCAGATGTTTCGACCTAATTCAGTATTTGAATATAATAGACGTCCAATGTAAAGAGATTAGCTCAACATTGTTACAGCGTAATTAAAATTTTAATATCTCTGAATAATTTAAACATTAACTACTGTATCTAATTCATTTTTTGTTTCTATCATAATTTAACACTAATCCATTATTATGATTTAATGTTCTTAATTCATTTATAAATTGGTTCTAGGTGTTTTGAGTCAACTTTTTTTATAAAAATCTGTTTTTTTTTTCATATTTTGTATATTTATTTGCTTTAAATATTTGTTAGAAATACGTCATGTGGTATACTAGTCTTGACAGTTTTGAGGAAGACCAATGACTGATTAAAACCTTTTGACTTCCAAGAACTAAAAAATCTCTGTACATATAACATCTCGAAATAATCTTTTCAAAACCATGTTTCATCGTTTTGAAATTTTAAACTTATTTTATTTATATACATCCAATATTTAATTTTGTGCCAGTCTGTTACTGTTATCCTAGCTTTCTATTTTAGAAAAATAATAATATAGTCAGGATACCTTCTTCTGTGCTACTTTAGAGTAAATTGTGTTTTAAGATCAGTTATATTGAATTTATTATTTAATGAACTTATTAAATAAAGATCAATAATAAAAGAAATTAATTATGAAATATTAATATTAAATAGTTTTCTTACAATTGATTCAAATGTCACGAGATACCAAAGTATTATTAGCATTTAGCTTTAAATTATTTTTTACACGTTCTTAATTTTTTTCCAAGTTTTAATTAAAATTATAAAAATATATGTAGATGATCTTATTGACGTAGATTTTGTCTTATTGAAATGTAAATAAAATACAGATGTAACCTGTCTATAAACAGCTTATAAATATATACATATATTATATAGATTTATTTTGATTCAGAATATTATTGACTTATCTCAACGTATTTGTTAATTTTATTACGATATGCTTGACGTTACCCAATTCTCAGAAAGTCTTTAAAATAAGTAACACGAAATCGTATTCAAGTAATTTGAAGTCCTTTTATTGTAGTTCAGTATATTGTTGATTTTAAGTTAATTTATTGTTCATTATAAATTTTTATTAAAAATTCTTTAAGAATTGTTTCTGAATAATAGGAATGTTTTGTTAGTCTTATAAATATAGATTTTTACTATGTAATATCATGTATTTTTTATTGAGTATTTTAATACACTCATAAAACCTAAACGATGTTCAAACTTCATACATCTAATCTTTGTCACCGCAGACGATTAGCAGAAATCATGGACTAAACCACAAAACTCATCACAACTATCATTCACAATGAAATGACTTTATTATTACTTGATTACTATGAATTATACATATATTATTTCTTTTCAATTGAAGTAATTCATATAAATATAGTAATATGATGAAGTACCTACTTAAAATAAGATCCGTAAAATATTATCCAAATAAAATGAAAAAGCACAAGAAACTATTAATTAATTCTTCTATTATAATATTTTGGTATTCTTATAGTATATATTTTGAATACTATTATAATAATGTAATTTTTCTTTTATTTTCTTTTCTTTAAGCATGTATCAGTACTACATTTCAGAAAAACTCTGTAGTGATTGAATATTTTATATCGAGTATTTTATCTTCGTTCAATAAAATATTAAAAATCTTTAAGTTATAATTTGTGTATGGAAGGATTCTTCTATGAGAAAGGTAGCAAACGAGAAGAAGGCCTACTTGATGGGTAGTACTCACCGTCGCCCATGGACATCCGCAACATAAAGGGTGTTGGGAATACGTTGCCAACTTTGATTGTGAAGAAAAGAGGAAAGGTTGGGAATAAGGAGATAGAAGGCAAGATTGGGAACAGGGAAATGGCAACCTGCTCTCTCAATCATCGGACGAAACGCAGCCATTAAAGACTACTTCACGCCGATCTTCTGTGTGAGGGTGGTACTTCCTCGGTCGAGCCAGCACATGTTCGAGCTGTAGTAACTTCATCACGACTAGGATTTATCACCAAAGAGATATATAGTTATTTTGGTAAATAAATATAATATATATAATATAATCAAGATGAAATATATTTGTAATCATTACATGTTCGCCAGACATTTTTTTAGCAAGATATATTTAATTTGTATGTAGATATAACTATTGTATTAAATATTATTAAAAAATCTACTTTTTATCTATAATAATCTTAAAAAGTCCATCACTATTCACTGCAAGTAAAGCTCTTTGTGGGATTGAATCTTTTTGACTGCGGGATTGTTATCTTCTAAGCTGTAACGTATGCAACCGAATAGGTGAAGCGGAGGCTGGATACAAAACTTTTCTAATACTTTATTCAAACTTTTGAACGAAATCCTGTCTTTATATTACGAAATAAAAATCTATTGTATAATGTACTGTAAGATACTTATGTACAATTTCTTATTATTTAAGTAGTTTATATAAAAATTATGGTTATATTAACAAATCCAAAAATATGAGAAGTATTTTTATGTGAAACCATATTCGTAAAAGAAAAATTTAAAACTCAATATGTATAGAGATATATGATAAGATGCATTGTTCATAAATAAACATTTTATTGTGTAATTGCTTCGACGTAGATAATATACTGAAATCCTTTCATTTTTGGCTTATTTTAGTTAAATATTACTAATTTATTAAAATTAATAATAATTCATAAAAGCAAAATTCGTTAGACTTCTCGTATCTTTAAATGTAGAATTCTACTTTACGTGTGTATGTTACTGAGTTCCTACTAAATGACTGGACCGAATTGAGTGAATTATTTTTGGATGCGTTTGAGTGCCCTCCCTGAGGGTTTAGATTCACAAATCAGCACGGCAGATGGCGCTGTAGTATGTAGGTTGTTTAAAATGCAAACGCTGAAACCTGATTTCCTACATGTATTGTTTTAATACACTTTATACATTTCACTCTGAGCGAAACTTTGATGTTCGGACAGACGAAGTCGCGGTAATAAATAGTTAATAATATTTGTCATTTCACAATATGTTTGTCAAACTGAAATGACGCTAACATATGTGA